CTTATTTGTGGGTGAAAAGGGGCAATCCTGGATCAGGTCTTCTGGCAGTTTCATAAGCTGGCTATCAAAAGAAAAGATGAAGGAAGAGGAGAAATTTTCAGAAACCATGAGAGCTAGGAGGAAGTAGTTGAAGAAATCCCAGGAGTCAGCTTACAAATATTATTATTATTATTATTTTTTTTTTTTTTGAGACAGAGTCTCACTTTCTTGCCTAGGCTAGAGTGAGTGCCGTGGCATCAGCCTAGCTCACAGCAACCTCAAACTCCTGGGCTCAAGCGATCCTCCTGCCTCAGCCTCCCGAGTAGCTGGGACTACAGGCACGAGCCACCATGCCCGGCTGATTTATATATGTATATATATTAGTTGGCCAATTAATTTCTTTCTATTTTTATGGTAGAGACGCGAGGTCTCGTTCAGGCTGGTTTTGAACTCCTGACCTTGAGCAATCCGCCCACCTCGGCCTCCCAGAGTGCTAGGATTACAGGCGTGAGCCACCGCGCCCGGCTACAAATATTATTTTAACTAGGGTGTTGTTAGCAGAGAACACAGCCAATCTTATCAAAGATGTCATGATTGTATGTTTTCCCTGAATTATGGGTGTATGTAGTGTCATAGAATAGAAGAAAAATTGGACTTACTTAGCCCAAATTATAAAGTAGATTAATACTTTTAAGGCCAAATTGTCCAGGTGTGTTTCTTTCTCTCCGGAGTCTTTACATTCCACACCGAGGAGCATCTGCCACCTAGTGTTCATAAAGAATACTGCAAAGTTGAGACTAAGTCCCATATGTTGAGTTTGCAGAGCTATGCATCATGCCTATTTCTCTCCTCTTGGAAAACTTGCTCAACCAGCTTTTTTCCACCCTTAAAGCAAATTATGTTCAGGGTATCTTAATCTTTCTTTGTTATACTTCTGTGTTAGGTAAACAGGAAATCGATTTGGTTGTATTTATTTTGAGACAATTTGTACTATCAGAGTCTTGCTCCCAAATTATGGCACCTGGAATATCATGATTGAGATGTAGGTAGAGAAGTGTAAAGGAAGGACATTCATCATAAAATAAAAGAATGAGTTCTTGAAGGTTTGAGAAGATCTTTCTCAAACCAGGTGGATTTCTTTCCACCCAGACACTGATGGGTGGAAAGCTCTAACTCCTTGGTTATTGGTTCTGGTTTCTCTTCAGTACTGAAGAGCCATGCTGGACTTTCCATAAAGGTTTTACTAGTGTGAACCAGTGGTTATCTCTGAATAGAGAAATTATGGATGATCTTTATTTTCTTCTTTACACTTTTTTTGTATTTACTGTATTTATATATTATTTTTTGTAATCTATTAAAAATAGGACTTTATGGCATTCAAAGAGAAAACAAACAAGTAATTAAAAATACAGCCAAGTGTTCAATCAGCAATGTTTCTAATTCTGTCATGGTTAACTTGTCTACATGGCTAAATTGCTCCCAAAGCTTCTATTCCATTTCACATCCTTTTGAGGTCCCTGCCAAAGCAGCTCATTTTTTCAGCTTTAAGTGATATTCCTCTAGAAACCTTGTAGAAGACCTTATTGAGAAAACAACAAATGAACTATGGAACTGATTGAAGGTAAATAGGCTAGTATACATGCTCAGGAAGATATAAAGAAATCATCTAGCTACAGAGGCCTCCCTACTAACTTTTTCCTCCTCAATTTTCCAGAGTTAGAGTAAAAGGTTATATTGTATTTTCCCCAGGATTGATTTTTTTTCTTTTTTTTTTTTTGAGACAGACTCTTACTCTGTTGCCTGGGCTAGAGTGCCCTGGTGTCAGCCTAGCTCACAGCAACCTCAAACTCCTGGGCTCAAGCAATCCTTTTACCTCAGCCTCTTGAGTAGCTGGGACTACAGGTGTGCACCACCACACCTGGCTAATTTTTACTATTTTTAGTAGAGAGGGGGGGCTCACTCTTGCTCAGGCTGGTCTCGAATTCCTGAGCTCAAGCCATCTTCCTGCCTTGGTCTCCCAGAGTGCTAGGATTACAGGCATGAGCCATCGAGCCCAGCCCCCAGGATCAAATTAAATTTGAGATTAAGGAGTGTCTTAGTCCATTTATGTTACTATTACAAAACATCTGAGATTGGGTAATTTATTAAGAACAGAATTTATTTCTTATAGTTATGGAGCTTGGGAAGTCCAAGAACAAGGTGCTAGCATCTAAAGAGGGCCTTCTTGCTGCATCCTCACATGACAGAAGGTGGAAGGGCAAAAAACCCAAACTCATCTTCTCAAGCCTTTTTATAAAGGCACATAATCCCATTTATAAGGGCAAAGGCCTCATGATCTAATCACTCCCCAAATGCCCCACCTCTCAATACGACTACCATGGGGATTAAGTCCAAGGGGACACCATCATTCAAACCATAGGAGGCTGTCCAGGTGACTGGAGAGCAAACCTTGGACCAATTGGGTGGGATGTAGGAACCCGATTGTAAGGCATTAGATTTAAAACCTTGTATAAATAAAACAATAAGATGAACTTAAAAAGCTATGCTATTTTAAGGAAGAAGAATTTGATGTGTATTTTAAATGCTAGTGCATTAAGAAAGGAACATGAGAAAAATAAAAATATTTGCTTTGGCTGTAGTTTAGTAGCACTAAATATAGTCATTTTACACGAACTGCTTACCCTTTTCTGCCTGCTTACAGTGCATTACAGCTGTTTTCAAATACTAATAATCAAACCTCATTAAATCATTTAAAACTAAACTGATCTGCTCAACATATACAGCTTTTTATCATAGTACTTATTGCTTACATAATTTAGTTGTTTGCTCATACTCTAAAGAAATAGAACACAGGACTCACCCTAGCCTGTGGTAGTCAGTTATCCTTTCTCTTTTTCTTTTGTTGAATCAGACCTGGTGCCAGTGCCTCAGATATTAAGTCAACTCTAATAATTTATAAATGAAAAGCTACTTTGAAGGAATAATCTAAGTAAGTCTCTTTGCAGAAGCTGGAGAGGAAAAGGTTTCTTTTGTGGAAGAGAAGCTAGGTGAAGATTCCTCCTTAAATTTCCTTTATTTGTTCTTTCAAGGTTTTAAAATTATCTTTGCTCTCTCCATAAGTAGTGGTTTGTGGTATTTTGATTAAAAATATATTCTGATCATTTCCTCATATCTTTTGCGACCCCCCACCCCAAGTAGATTATTCTGATTTCTCTAAGGGTGTTTAGGGTTACAAAGAATTTTCCATACCTTCACATTCACATTCTGTATGTAATCTGGTTTAGCCTATTCTTTACCCTTTTCCTATTCACTGTTCGGTCAACAGAGGATAATTTCCTCTTTCCACCAAGCATCCACTACCATAATAATAAACCACCTGTTCTCCATAAACCCTAACCATCTGGGGTACCGAAGGCATACTTAATTTCCATTACACATTAAATACATTAATCATATGAGTTACTGCCTAATTAATCTTTAAAAATATGAAAATTATTAGTAAGAGAAAATCTGGAAGCCTTGCCTATACATGAAAGAGGTAAAAAATATGGTTTTTTATTAGCATGTTGAAGGTAGTCAAGATTTTAACAAACATCTTAATCCTCACAACAACCCTGTGAGGTAGGTAAGTCATTGTTTCATGATAAACTAGTATTCCAAATAAAGTGCAATTCCTAAAAGAATAAATCTGCATTAGGAATACATTTTGTTAATGACAACATTTATGTATACACTAATATTTGAGTTTTTGGATACTTTCTGATTCATCCAATAAGGTGTCCCCAGAAAAGCTTACAATAAAATCCTATTTAAATATACTTGGGGAACTATTTAAATAAACCCTGGGGCAATTTTTTGGTAAAATAAATCATTATTTTTTATCTTATATAAAAAAAGGGAATTTTCATAGCATTTACTAAAATGAGGAATTCTCAGCAATGTTTCACTCACATTTATCCATTCTTTGGTAAATTTTCTTAACATGGCACCATGCCAATGTAAGATTTAATTTATTGAATGAAATCTTGGCAATTTGGTATATGGCAGTGATCTCTGTTGTCATGTAGAAGTCTCCAAATATACTGCTCTTAATTTCAACCTAAAACCTAAAGCGGACTATTTATTGAAATGTAAACACTAAAACAAATGGTGATAAATTTCAAAAAGTATTTTTCCTTGGGAATCTTTATTTTTTCCCTTAAATTGCAAAAGGATGAGCAATCTTTTTAAAGAAATATAATATTCTCATAACTATAAAATTCTAGTGACTTATATTGCAAGTCAAAGTCTTATGCTATCAATTACTGCTTATAAGGGAGCTAGCAGATGTTACTCCAAAAGTTTAAGTATTTTTTTCTCTGTGCCAATATAAAACTTCACTAGGAAAAGAAATATTCCCAGGCACCTATTTTAAACATAGTATATGTTTAAAGTACATTTGTATTGTTAGTCCAACGCTAGTAAACATCCAGTTACGAATATTTTTTGTAGTTGTCTTATGTGCAAAATACATTTTTATTAGAGCATTTCAATTACATTTCATTATGAGATAAACTCTTAGGACAGTTATACAATTTCTTTGTAAAAATAACTTTAATTCAACTTGGAAGCTTAGTTAACATTTAAAATCCTTTGGCAGATTTATAATACTTTAGCAAGTGGTTAAAGTATTAGATAATTTGCCATTATAAAGAAATAGGTTTAGCTAAGAAAATTTTCTCATATAAATATTTTTAAAAATTGCCACAGGAAAATTCAGCAAATTGACAGGTAAAATAAACTAAGCCATCTATAAGTTGTACAATCAAATCCATACTAGACCCAATAGTGCACTTTAGATTATAGTGAGGTAGGGCAAAGAAATATATTTTTAACTATTAAATTTATATAAACTGCAATACTGACTTTTACCCAGGTTTTACTTAGATCTAAAAAGAAAAATTTAGAATTCTGATGACAAAGTATTTTCTTGTATTCAAGGACAGAATTGTAAAAATCTTCGAAGTACATATAAATAAAAATACAAAGGCCATCAGATATATTTTATTTCAACATAAAATATGCTTATATAAAAATAACCCAGAACATATAAAAAAGAAATACAAACATTTTTTTGCATAGATCCTCTATATAAAAGATTTACCTGGGGCTAAACACTAGAAAATATACCTTTGAAACTATTATAGTTGAACTATTTCCTTGGATACCAAGTATACACAAAATAAAGCCCTTCATCTGGGGGAGCATGGGCAGGAGGGAAAACAATTTAATTTAGCATCAGTCTATATTTATTTCTCTGTTGCTCGAATATAAACCAATGATGACAAGAGGAGAAACTCTGGGGGTTTATTTAACAAAATTAAATTCACATTTCTGAGGCCATCATAGTGCATCCAATGTCCATCAATCTGGAAAGCCGCGGAATAATGATGTTCTTCTTTGTTAAATAATGTGGCACCTTCCAACAAATACCTGCAAAATTAAATGACAAAGTGTAACAGAAAATCATAATTTTTTAAAAGATAAACATCGCTTAAATTCTTAACTAAGAAATAAAATAATTGAGATTGTTTGCATTCTGTTCCCCGAAAAAGATATCCATCTGTATAAATCATGTACTATATTTGGTAATATGGAATAAAATGTTTAAAGAATGACATAATCTAAGAATTTTTACAAAACATATTTTAACAGATTAACTCATAACCTGTGTGGTTCTATTAAAAAATAGAAAACACATAAAAAAAATTTAAAGGCAAAATGTTAAAAGAATCTTGTATTTCTTGATTTGTATGCAAATATTTTTATCATATGATTTTATTATATAATGATTAAAATGATGGCATTTTATATTTAAATGATGACTGCTGTATATTATTATACACTTCTTTGACTTAAAATACCAGTAATAGCCACTATTTCCTGAGTGCTTACTATGCATCAGGCACTATTCCTTAACACTTAGCATGTGCTATCTTATTGAATCCTCACAATAATGGCATTAAATAGATACTGTCATCTCTGTTTTATATCTAAGAAAACTCATGTGATAACTGGTTAAGTTACTGGCCCAAGGTTATATATCTTATAAAATATGGGGCTAATAGAACCCAATTCTGTCTATTCTATAGTCCAAGTACCTAACCACTACGCACACTGCTAGTGACTGACTCCCTCTAGTAGATTCTGTCCCATTCAGAATACACAAATTTAGAGCTAGCTATGATTTTTTCCAACAATATCTTCTTAAGGGCTAATCAAAATTATGATAAATAATGGGATAAAAAATTTATTTTCAGTAGTTTTATAAAGAAACAAAAAAACACCTACTTGTGGTCAGATAAATCCAAGTAATAGGGTACATATGCCAGATCTTCAGATTTCCAATGCTGCATATTTAAGACAACAAAAGGGGGTGCCCCATGGCAAAAAACTCGCTGGGAAAATTCTCTTAAGCCACCACACCTAAAACAGAAAATAGGCATGGGCATTATTATACTTGGGTCAAAGTTGCCATTCAATACTTCTGGGCTGTCTTGATGACTTAAATTTTCTTACAACTATGTATTATAGATATAGGTAATGGTGTGGCTATATTATTGCCTTGTTTACAAGCTGTGTTCTCTATATTAGAAATGATACTTTTAAAACTCCAGGAAAAACTAGCTATTTCTACCTAAGCTTATAAAAGTGTGATTCTGCTGAACTGATATGTAAGCTTTTATTTGTACATAAATTTTTCTTTTTAAACTGGTTTCAAATAATGGCAGAGAGGGGAATAATGACTCTAATTGCTTCCTTTTGCCATTAGAATTTTCTATTAGCATGAAGCAAATTTTATTTTCTTAGGATTATTAGGCATTAAGCATATGGATCAGAATACAATAAATACAATTATACAGTAAAATCTCGATTAACCGGAATGCTCAGGGTACAGTATTCTGGTTAACAAACATTATTGACTAAACTAAGTTAACCAGAAAATCATCTGTTTTAGTGTTTGTTGCTAAAATATAATAGTTCATTTTCTGGACTTAAGTACAATTAACTGAAGGTGTTTTTATCTTTCTTTCTTTTGTGATTAGCTATAAGATCACTCTTCTACATATTAATTCTCAGTGTGCAACAATGTGGATACAGAAATTGTTAAGAGATTGGGATAAATATGTTCTGCCCCCTCTTTTTTTTTTCACTATGTTAAAATTTTTTTATTGTCATTTACCTCTTTCTCCTAAATGAGGAATGCAGAAAAAATTCCAGTTAACTGAGGGTCCCGATTAGCTGGGTTCCGGTTAACCAAGGTTTTATTGTACCTACTCAGCAGTGGGGAAAAAAGAAAGGCATTTGCTTTTTGTTCATCAATTAGCTGTAGTACCATATTCTATATTGTGCTACTTGAAAATACAGCGTAAGATGGCATAGTAAACTGAGTTTGTTAATAAGATTAAAAAAGCATTAAGGCTTCCCAAATACTTGAATTGCCATTTCAAAAAGCATGAACTTCAAAGAGCACATTAGCCCAGGTTTCCTTATAAACAACACAGAAATACTTCCATCATAACTGTCTATCATATACTTACCCACGCTCTTCACACAGTTCAATCTTGGAACAGAATAACTCATCCACAGCCAGTCGTATCAAGTTTCCATGTGGAATTTCTTGGGGAGGACTATAATAATTAAAAACTGCATGTAAGAACTGCTTCAACATCTTACAGGCTAAAACATTATTAGGATAACAAATTTTACAGGTAAATCTGTAAAACCAAGTATACCAGCAGTCCCCAACCTTTTTGGCACCAGGGACTGGTTTCATGGAAGACAATTTTTCCACGAACCTGGGGGTAGGCGATGGTTTTGGGATGATTCAAGTACATTACATTTATTGTGCACTTTATGTCTATTACTATTACATTGTCACTTACCACTCACTGGCAGGGTTTTTTTTTTTTTTTTTTTTTTGAGACAAGAGTCTCGCTTTGTTGCCCAGGCTAGAGTGAGTGTCATGGTGTCAGCCTAGCTCACAGCAACCTCAAACTCCTGGGCACAAGAAATCCTACTGCCTCAGCCTCCCAAGTAGCTGGTACTACAGGCATGCGCCACCATGCCCGGCTAACTTTTTCTATATATGTATTAGTTGGCCAATTAATTTCTTTCTATTTATAGTAGAGACGGGGTCTTGCTCTTGCTCAGGCTGGTTTCGAACTCCTGACTTGGAGCAATCCACCCGCCTCGGCCTCCCAGTGCTAGGATTACAGGCGTGAGCCACCGCGCCCAGCCTACTGGCAGGATTTTGATATGATTCTGCAAGCAATTGATTTATTATGATCTCTATGCACTGAAATCTCTTTGCTAATGATAATCTGTACTTGCAGCTGCTTCCCAGTGCTAGCATCACTGCCTTAGCTTCACTTCAGAGCAGCAGGCATTAGATTCTCATAAGAAGCATGCAAGCTAGATCCCTTGCATATGCAGTTTACAGTACAGTTGGTGATCCTAATGCTGCTGCTGATCTGACAGGAGGTGCAGCTCAAGAGGTGATGCAAGTGATGGGGAGCATCTGTAAATACAGATGAAGCTTCCCTTGCTTGCCTGCCTCTCACCTCCTGCTTGTAGCCTGGTTCCTAACAGGCCATGGAACAGCAGCCCCAGGTTGGGGACCGCAGAAGTATACCAAGTAAAACCTCTGTCATCTATCTTTATACTTCTTGCAGGTAGTATAGAAACCAGTTGAACTCAATAAACATTAATGTATGACATTTTCCAAGAAACATTACATTCTTCTGTAAACAATCCTGAAATATACAGATGTGGCTACATTAATCTAAAAAATTTGTGAGAGGATTCAAAAAAGGCAATCTGGTCTGATGGGAAAAAACTTGGACTCAGTTTCAGAAAAGAATATGATTAGTTACCTGACTAAATGAAAGTCACAACTATTCTTGGCCACAGGTACCTGATCTGTTAAAAAAATATTTCCTACATACTTCACAGGTTGTTTTAAATAGAGGCCTAAAATATAGGCAAAAGCTTTAAAAAGTTATGGAGTATGATGAAAAATATTTTATTAAAAGAGAGAAGTATAACATATTAGTATTAATGGAATTATAAATATTTTATTATGGTTTCAAAATATTTACAAATTAAGACATACTAGTTTTTATAAAAACAAGATAAACTTTGAAACACTTTTTAAAAAAATTACTTATTTTTTTGGAGACAGGGTCTCACTCTGTCCGCAGGCTAGGATGCAGTGGCATCATCATAGGTCACTGCAGCCTCAAACTCCTGGGCTCAAGTGATTCTCCTGCCTCAGCCTCCCTAGTAGGTAGAACTACAGGCACACACCACCATGCCCAGCTGATTTTTCTATTTTTTGTAGAGACAGGGTCTTGCTCTTACTCAGACTGCTCTAAAACTCCTGGCCTCATGTGATCTTCCCACCCCAGTCTCCCAAAATGCTAGGATTACAACCATGAGACACTGCCCTGCCTGAAACACTTTTTAGACCATTATGATGTAGAGTAAGAACATTTTACATTGACAGGGAATTCAAAATCAACATGATCATATCAGTAATATAAGAAAACAGATAAAATATACTTCAGAAAAAATGTGAGTTTAATAAATTAGGGCAGGTGATGTACATTTCAAAATGGGAACATCTATTAGGCTGTTTTTCTGGAACATAGGGCCAAATATCTTGTCTGACAACAATGTGTTTGGGTCTGTTTTTCGTCCACTGGCAATTACCCCTTTTACAGCTCATGTCTCCCAGGGGCTTTAATGTTTTCCAGCACTCCACTAGAGCTTGCCAGGTTGGACTCCCTCCCTGTCATTTACCAGCTTGGAGGTCTGCCTTCTCTCTGAAGGCCAAAAACACTCAGCTGGCTCCCAGAACCTTTCCTAGTCAGTGTAAAAGCTTCTCACATTCACATCTCTTTCAGGTGTGAGATGCCAAGTTCGAGGTTTCTGTCTATAACTATGCCCTGCCCATGATATGAAAAAAATCTTTTTAATCCTCTTCTTCACATGAAACTTGCCTTCCTGACAGAGATCCATTAAAAGGGTGAAACATTCCAAAACAGTTTTAAGTGCTTTTAAGAGGTTAAATTTGTAACACAAAGAATTACTGACATAGTCATAGTAAACTCAAAGCAAAAGTAAAACATTTTGCATATGACTAATTTATTACTTTGCTACTAAAAAGGTTTATTGTAAAGTAATTCTAAGATGTTTGCATGTGAGAGACTAATATTTTTTTCAGGGGACCTGCAGAAGAGTCTCACATTTGTGTGGTTGTTTCATGCATAAGTAGTTACACAGGCTCTACTTTAACGTGTACTTTGGCAACACACTCATGGATCATCCAATAGGGGTATGTTCTAAGAATAAGTCCTTCAGCAATTTTTTTGTTGTGTGAACATCAAAGAGTGTACTTACACAAACCTAAATGATATAGAGTACTATACAACTAGGCTGTAGGCTACAAATCTGTACAGCATGTTACAGCACTGAATACTGTAGTTAACTGTAACTAAATGGTAGGTATTTGTATATCTAAACATTTAAAAGGTATAGTAAATATACATATTATAATCTTATGGGACCACCCTCATATATGCAGTTCTTTGTTAAGTGAAACATCATTATGTGGTGCATGACCATATATATTTAAAGCAACATTCATTATAAAAAGTAAAAGTGAGGGCCGGGCGCTGTGGCTCACGCCTGTAATCCTAGCTCTTGGGAGGCCGAGGCGGGCGGATTGCTCAAGGTCAGGAGTTCAAAACCAGCCTGAGCAAGAGCGAGACCCCGTCTCTACTATAAATAGAAAGAAATCAATTGGCCAACTGATATATATATAAAAAATTAGCCGGGCATGGTGGCGCATGCCTGTAGTCCCAGCTACTCGGGAGGCTGAGGCAGAAGGATCACTCGAGCCCAGGAGTTTGAGGTTGCTGTGAGCTAGGCTGACGCCACGGCACTCACTCTAGCCTGGACAACAAAGCGAGACTCTGTCTCAAAAAAAAAAAAAAAAAAGTAAAAGTGACAAAAGACTTTAGAGCAACTTACTTTATATTAATTGTGCGCTGTTGATCTTCCTGTACGCGAGTTGGGCATCGCCAGTTGGAACAGTAACTCTCTTGAATGGTAGACATGAGATTTTCGAGATTTTTTGTAAAATTATCATGCTCATTCCCAAACAAATCAATTATTAGTGAAGCTTTATGAACTTCAGATTTGTATTGCTGTTTTTCCATCTTGTCCCAAATCCAAAGTAGCTTCACTGTTGTAAAACTGTAGGTGTCCATTAAATAAAGAAAACAGTCTACAAACTCTCTACCAAAGTGAAGAGAGAGTTCCCTGGGGAAATTTTCATTTTCATTAAGAATGACATATAATAGCATCAAGAATCCATCTATGGTGCAGGTATTTTTCAGTCTTATCTCAACATAGAGTGGTGTACAGGATACTGCTTTGCGGCCAGCTTTGATAGTAAATACACCTCCCCAAGGAAGAACAGGCCTCCAAAATGATCGATCTTGGTTGTAGTTATTTTTAATTGATGCTTTGATCTCTTCAAACAGTGTCTTCATCCTGCATTTTAAAAGTTTAAAACAGAACATGTAAACTTGTGATTTTGTATGTTAAATGCATGAGATATGTTTAAATGAAAATAAATCTATCTAACGATTGAAATTAAATTTGGTTAGAAGCCCTCCCAGGGTAACAAAAAAAATTTAAATGAGCCACTTTTGGGGGTGCTATGAATGGTCTCTGGAAAGACCACTTAAGAAGCTGCAATCTCTTTTTAAGGTACAGAATGGCAATCTAATAGGTGTTTGTTAATTAGACTGCATTTTATCTGTGATATAAAAAATAAAAAATCCCAAATGAATATAAAGATGTTTATTGATACAAACTATAAATAAATCCTAAATGAAAATAAAGCTGCTTAAAGATACAAACTAAGTGTGGTTAGGTATATTCCTAATGTAAACCTCCTTCTCCCTCCAAAATACAAGGCTGTGTTTCATTTTCTTGTTTCTATAGGTGGTTCCACTTAAGAAACTAATAGGCCAGGTATGGTGGCTCACACCTAGTAATCCTAGCACTCTGGGAGGCCGAGCTGGGAGGATCGCTCAAGGTTAGGAGTTCAAGACCAGCCTGCCCCCCCCCCCTAAAAATAGAAAGCAATTAGCTGGACAACTAAAAATATATAGAAAAAATTAGCCAGGCATGGTGGTGCATGCTTGTAGTCCCAGCTACTCAGGAGGCTGAGGCAGAAGGATTGCTTGAGCCCAGGAGTTTGAGGTCGCTGTGAGCCAGGCTGATGCCATGGCACTCTAGCCTGGGCAACAGAGCGAGACTCTGTCTCAAAAAAAAAAAAAAAAAAAAAGAAACTAATATAATGGGATCCTTAGTTGGTATATAGAATAATAGCTATTTGATGGTCTTTATATTAACTATACTACACATTTTATCTGTGGTATAGAAAACCTATGTAGTAACAACTCCTGTTGCTATAGACTAAGACTAATGCTGATATCTAGCTTTGAAAGACATAATATGGGGAATATTAATCATAAGAATTTAAGTGACTTATAGCTAATATTTCCATTCACTTTGGGATTTTTATTTGCAACTTAGACTTGTTCTATTAATTATGCAATTTACATATCCTATAACTTTTAACTGTAGAGGCCATGCTATGAAGATCTGATTCAGAAACTGACACATATGTGATTATCCCCATGAATGTTTTGAGAATGAACTGAAGTGTCTTCTCTCTTTAAACTGGCACCTATCCTTCCCCAACACTGAGGATAATTAAGCATTTTGTTTTTAAAGCCACGGACAGTATTTTAATAAAATGCTTATGTCATGTGTATGTTATATAAAGCATACTTTTTAAAAACAAGGAATGATTCTCTTTTGAAATTGTATTGAAAAAAATGCTTCACTTTACTTGGGGCAAACAAATGTCTAAACTAAGATCATATTGTTTTCCAATATGTCACTTTTATGGAAAAGTGTATTTTTATGAGAAAAGAGAAGCACCTGAGGAATAGGAACAGAGAAATGAGTGACTGAGATCAGCGTCTTATGACTGATCATCTTTTCAAGTGCCACATCCTCCCAAGCACAGCATGAACTCCACACTCAATAATAATGCAGACCTATGTGTTTTATTTGTGAGAAATTAAGTTCAAAATATCTGCAATACAAGCTGATGAAAAATTCAGTTTGACAATATATTAATATTAAACACACGCACACACAGCATTTTCAGCTTGAAGCAATACCAGTGAACTTAATATTCAACACTATATTTAGTCTGAAGTGTACATGTTTATATCTAGTCTGTTAACATGTTGGTTCTAGTCAACTACTTAGGAATAAGAGGGTGTGGCAAATCTGTAGTTTACGAAAACACAAACTCAGTTTAACAGAAACTGACTCGTTTTCGTTTAAAAAATCATAAGTCATTCAAATACTTTAAAAATGAAAATAACTTTATGGTTTGATTTCTTTCTGTTGAATTTTAAAGAACTTTGTAGCAGGGTTTAAGATTGCTTAAAGAGCCTGAGTTCAGATTCCTAAACATTGCATTAGAAACATAAATCTCTGGTATTTTTCTGCAAATTATCTTTTAGACACGAACAAAGGAAGATTAAATATAGCTCTGTAAAGCAATAGCTATATTCTAAGAAAATGAACCACAATGATATAAATGCCATGAAACTAACTTCTTTAGTCTTTTTCTGGAAAAGAGAAGGGGAGGAAGGGGGGATTGGAAGAATTAGGAGTAACAATCGTTTTGGCATTAACTTCCTGGCTGCAATAAAAATGGGGGGGGGGAGATGGAGAGAGCTTTACTCAAATTGTCTCAGGTTTTCGTCACATTGTCAAAAGACTGTTGTTAAGCACTGTACTGGAAGCACTGGAGGATGTATTCAGCTGTTTATATTCCTGCCTCAACAGGCCCTCCAGGTTGAATTAATGTGGAAAACTCCCCGACCTCTATTTCCTCAGCAAAACGACGCCTTTCTTTCGCGGTCATTTGCAAGGGTAGCACTCTGTACCCCAAGCAGGGTGTGAGGACCAGATCACTGCCCAAGGCACTGAATGATGCCGGACTCCCTAAGGGCTCAGGGGTTCTCAGGGTCCCCTCTGGAATCAGCGCCCCGAAACATTCCTCTGAAAAACGGCCACGCGCCCCCCTTGAAGCAGCGCGGGGCTTTGGGGCCGGGACCAGCGGGGCGCGCGCTGGGCGCCCTCTTCTAGCCCCCCGCGCTCCGGCCACGCCCACCTCGCCCCTGGCCGGCCGCGCCCAGGAGGCCTGGCACCCAGGCTGGCTCCTCAACAGCGGCAGATGCCCACACCCGGAGCCGATGAGTCGGCTGGGCGCCCCTGCCTCTGTCCCGGCAGTGAACCCGCTCAGCGTCCGGGACTGCGGGCAAATGGGCGGAAGGGCTGGGCTGTGGAAGGGGTTCCACACCGGCCAGTCTCCGTCCACCAGGAAGCCGACTCCTCGTACCTCCCCGGGGACCGAAAAATGCCGGTGCCGCCGCACCCGTCGCCGCCGCCGCTTGCTCATGGAGAGCCCGGGCTGCCGCCGCCGCCGCCGCCGCCTCATCTACTAGCACCGCCGGCTGTCTCGGCCTCCCCCGGCATGAGTGCTGGGCTCTGGCACAGCCTCCATCGCACCCGCTGAGGCGGGAGCCACAGTAGCTCCAGCGCCCAGGTCCAATCCGACCAGACCCACACAGCCAGGACCGCGGGACGCGTCGCTTCTTATTACGAAAGAAGATTCGGCCTGACCTCCGCCCCCCTCCCCCCAATCCCCAGTTTCCAGCCGGCTGACGGAGCTGCTGCGCAGGCGCGAAGACGCCCCAGCCAAACGTGCGTGTGTCGGGTGTGTATACAGCTTCCAGATTCGCCCAATGGGAACCGGGATCAGGTGCAGGGGGCGAGACCTCGCAGAGAGGGGCGGGGTTCAGTGTTTGAGGGTGGGTGGGGCAGACGGAAGTGGGCTGGGTTTGCACGGAGACGGAGCTTCTTTGGCAAAACCTCGTTGGCTTTTTGAGGTTTGTACCCTTTCTAAGGGTTTTACGTGAGTTTAGCTTGCTTTTAGGTTTTCTCAAGTTCTTAACTCCGAAGAAGAAAACTTTGTTTTCTCAGTGAATTGTGATTATTTAAGGTTTTGATTTAAGAATATATTTAGGAAAAAGTTGAATTAGTGTGTTAAATGCCAGCTTTAGTGTTCAAGGTGATTGATTGGATGTAATTTACAGGAAAGTTAACATTATTTAAAAAAATAGATAGCTTTTAGCCCCATTGTAGAGTTGAAAATATTGATTTGGGGAGATAAGGTCCTGCACAGTAAGTGACTGTGCTGGAAACTCAAGTTAGGAGTGCGTAATGTTAGTTTGTGGGCTCAACCATTATTTCTGTTCCTTAGGCCCTAGTTTTTGTATCCTACCTTAAAGAATCAAAGCCCCACATGCCTCTACGTCTGGAGAACACAGGCCACCCTGGAAAACTACCTCCACCTGCAGGTACAAAGGAGATGCTGTTGAGATTTCCCCCATCCAGCCATTCGACAATTGAGTGTCTGGAAAGTGAGGCCCCAGTTCCAGAATACATGAGAGCTGATGTGGAGAGCTGGAGGCCAGCCTGGTAGTTCAGTGTGTTTCATACACAGGCTGAGCCTGGGGGAGGTTGAATGGCTTCTTGACCAATGTGATGGTCAGCCAAGGTTATGGTAGGGACCTTCCTCGTGGACTGCTTTCAAGGAGTCTAGTGATAGAGGGATGGAGGCTGGGAGACAAGCTTGACTTAATCAAGATAATGACTGCTGATGGAGATGGGAAGAAATGATGACTCTCAGGGGAAGAAAGAGGTTCTGCCCCAATAAAGAATGATTAATAACTCTAGCAAAGCCTGCTCTTTTTAGTTTCCTAGTTTTTCTTATTTTTTATGGCATTTTATAGATGGGTCTCTGAGAGAGTAAATAAACTAGTGTGTTGGAATTCACACACATGCAAAAAGTTCACACTCAGTATTAAACCTATCCTTCAAGTAAAAATCCTTTTAAAATGTGTGCAAATATGGATTATATGTTTAATTGACAATCTCTCACAAGACATGGAGTTCATTTTATACTGATTACGTCATTCTCTTCCCTAAAACAGGCGTGATATGGTGGTTGACAGCATTTCTGGAGAATAGTAATGAGATGGCTTATTACTCTGCCAAGGCTCAGCAAAATGGAGGAAGCACAAATTCCTTGCATACTTGGATAATTCACAAACCTCACTGAGGCCTTTAACTGAGATTTCCATTCTGCTTCTTTTCCATTCCCCTCAAAATCTGGCAGTCGAGTTGCAGTGTTGTTTTTTTTTTTAAGATAATTTTATGGAGGTATAATTAACATACAATATATGGAACATATTTAATGTGTATAATTTGATAAGTTTTGATGTGTGTATACTCCCTTGAAGCCATCACTATGATCAAGTATGTCCATCAACCTCAAGTTTCCACTTACTCCTTTGTAATTTCTTCCTCCCTCCCTTCCTCTCTCACCTAAGCAACCACTGATCTTTCTGTTAGTGTAGAATTGTCTGCATTTTTAAAGTTTTATATAAATGGAATCACTGTATACACTCTTTTTTGGTCTGGTTTCTTTCACTCAGTGTACTTGTTTTGAGATACGAAAGATTCATAGCAGCTTTGTTTGGTAATACCCCAAAACTAGACACAACCCAAATGTTCAACAAATGAATGGATAAACAAATAATAGCACGTCCATATAAAGCAATACACTCAGCAAGAAACAAGATTTTCAGTAAGGTCTCTCCACCTGCAGATCAAGACAAAATTACTTCCTAGTCTTGGGTGACCTCTAGTAGTTGTTCAGCACACTGCTGCTTGGTAATTATTTTTTCTCTAGTAATTGTTGTGCAGCTTTATAGGTTCACTCTGTGCACGCCTTAGTATTTGGCAAAAGACTCAAGGAAACCATATAAAGATTTCTGGATCTTTTTCTCTGTGTAGCTTCCTCTGTCCAGTAGTCAGCCTTGCACCTTCTAGCAGTATCAATATCTCTGATTGCTGATCGTTATCTGCTAAGCTTAGCAGGATTGCTGTGTCTAGAAAGTGCCTCTGGGGAGCAAACAGACAACCCACAGAATGGGAGAAAATTTTCCCAAGCTACACATCCGATAAAGGGCTGATAACTAGAATCTATGTAGAACTCAGGAAAATCAGCGAGAAAAAAATCAACCCTATCAAAAAGTGGGCAAAGGACATGAACAGAAATTTTTCAAAAGAAGACAGAATAAAGGCCAACAAACATATGAAAAAATGCTCAACATCTCTAATCATCAGGGAAATGCAAATCAAAACTGCAATGAGATATCACTTATCTCCAGTGAGAATGGCCTTTATCAAAAAATCCCCCAACAATAAACGTTGGCGTGGATGCGGAGAGATAGGAACACTCCTACACTGCTGGTGGGACTGCAAACTGCTTCAGCCTCTGTGGAAAACAATATGGAGATACCTTAAAGCGATACAAGTAGATCTACCGTTTGATCCAGCAATTCCACTACTGGGCATCTACCCAAAAGATCCAATGACACTCTACAAATGGGACACCTGCACTTGAATGTTTATAGCAGCACAGTTCACAATTGCAAAGGTGTGGAAACAACCCAGGTGCCCATCAATAGATGAGAGGATTAATAAAATGTGTGGTATATGTATACCATGGAGTACTACTTAGCTTTAAGAAACATGGTGATATAGCACCTCTTGTATATTCCTGGATAGAGCTGGAACCCATACTACTAAGTGATGTATCTCAAGAATGGAAAAACAAGCACCACATGTACTCACCAGCAAATTGGTATTAATGGATTAACACTTAAGTGGACATATAGGAATAACATATATCGGGTGTCAGGCGGGTGGGAGGGGAGGCATGGGCAATATACGTAACCTTAACATTTGTACCTCCATAATATGCTGAAATAAAATTTAAAAAATTAAAAAAGTGCCTCTGGGAAGAACTCTGGGTGATTGTAAGGCTCACCTCAGTTGTTTCTTTTCTCTAGGTTCACAGTCTGGCACTGCTTGTTTTCCAAAATACGAAGATAGTTATTTCATATATTTTGTCTAGCTACTAAATTTTTAAAATTGTGGTGGTAGTTTAAGGGGCTGGTTCACTACTAGTTGTTCCTAATGGTCAGGAGTTTTCAAATTTTTTTGTTTGTTTGTTTGAGACAGAGTCTCACTCTGTTGCCTGGGCTAGAGTGCCATTGAGTCAGCCTAGCTCACAGCAACCTCAAACTCCTGGGCTCAAGCAATCCTCCTGCCTCAGCCTCCCTGGTAGCTGGGACTACAGGCATGCGCCGGCTAATTTTTTCTATTTTTAGTTGTTTGGCTAATTTTTTTCTATTTTGTAGTAGAGACGGGGTCTTGCTCTTGCTCAGGCTGGTCTCTAACTCCTAAGCTCAAGCAATCCTTCTGCCTTGGCCTCCCAGAGTGCTGGGATTATAGGCATGAGCCACCGCGACCAGCCTCAAATATTTTTGAATATAAAATAAAAACTGAAAAGTACTGTGGCCAGGGTAGCAATCATTGAATTATAGGAAACAGTCCATATCAAATGAGTTGAAGGAGATAAATTAGAGACTGTATTTTAAATAGTCCTCAGAATCTACCTGTCATAGCTCAGATCCTTATAACTTCTCACCAGACTTTAGTAGTTTCCCTGCCTACTATCTCATGTGTCAAACCCTCTGTCTTTAGTTTAATTTTCTTACAACTGCCAGAATACATTTTCTAAATTGTAAGATTAGTCCTATCACTTTGCTACTTAGTATCATTTAGTGGCTTCCAAATACCTTTAGAGAAAAATAAAAATTTCTTAGTATAGCTTAGAACAGGCCTTGCATGATCTGTGTCTCTCTGCCATCCCCATCTACCTTTAATTCCCATCTTCCATTATAACCACTTTGGGAATGCTTAATTGCTTTTACAAACTTTATTGCAAAATTCTCTCCAACTTCCTACAGTTGCTATCTCTATGATAGAGTTCTTTTTAATGATTTTAGTATCCTAGTTAATAACTTTATCCTTAGTTAGCATTTATTTATATTAAATTTTATGTTTGAATAACTAGTATGGTTTCTGTTTCATGACTGTACTCTGACTGATAAATCACCTGTAACAGCCAGGAGAGATTTTGACCCCAGGGAACCTTTGGCAATGCCTGGAGACATTTTTGGTTATCATAACTTGGGAGGGGCAGCTACTGGCATCTAGTGAGAAGAATCTGAGAATGCTGCTAAAACATTATACAATGCACAGGAAAGCTCCTTATGGCAAAGAATTAACTGACCCAAAATGTCAATAGTGCCAAGGTTTAGTAATCCTGCCCATAACAGAATCCAGGATTAGAACCTGGGGAAAACTGATAAGATGACAAGAGATGGGCACAGGAAGCAGCTAATAGACTCATTTTCTAGATGTCATCTCTGGCATAAAGCCATTTTAATGGTCTGTGTGAACAGCCTATGTCAGTTCTTGTGATGTGGTTTCTTATAGGTCTCCCTGGCACTTGGCAGCTTTAACAACTGAACAAATAACTCCCAACCTTTAGGTCAAGAAAAATGGCAAGTCTTCACCAAACTCAGCTATCATAGTTTATTTTTTGTTTGATTGTTTACTCCTGTGTTCCCCAACCCTAGGCTGCAGACTGGTACCAGTCCGTGGCCAGTTAGGGACCTAGGGACCGGGCCACAGAGCTTCACGCCCCACCCAAGGCCCGTGGAAAAATTGTCTTCCATGAAATCAGTCCCTGGTGTCAAAAAGGTTGGAGACTGCTGCTGTTTTACTTGATTGCATTTTTTTTTCCTATTCTTCATTTCTTCCTTCATGTTGCCCCTCCAGCTATGATATATGCTTATTTGCTTCTGATTCTAGTTGTTGGTTCTATTTTCTAACTTGTTTTAGTTTTTCCATGCTTGACTACTGTTGCTTAAGTCACATCTAATCTACCATAACAACTCCAACCCCTGTGCCCACCCCAACACCTATGTCCGTGTTTTGCGATGTCTGGAACCTTGTACACATAATAAGCTCATAGGCAGGGATAATAAGCTCATTATCAGGGAAGGTCAGACCAGACAGGAGGTCACAAATTGGAATTTTCTAGCAGTCAGATAGAGAAGGATAATTATTATCAGTTTCCTAGCAGCTGGAACAAAGAAGGAAATATGATGGATTATGTAACCATGACTATCTAGTAAGAAACATATTAGTCTATGAGAAAAAGACTCTAGTTTCTTAGGTCTGAGGATAATTTACCACAGAGATATTTATTTAAAGACAGTGAATAATATAACTGATGATATTCCAAATTATAATTTTATAAGAAATGAATAGAAAAATCCTCATTTTGCTGGTTTTTATATTAGTCATTTATGAAAGCCAAAGTCACAGTATTTGTTTATTAATTAATTCATCCATTGAGTTATTCAATAAACACCCATTGCGTGCTTGGGACTGTATTAGCTTGGGCTGCAATAACAAATACAATAGACTGAGTGGCTTAAAGAACAGACATTTATTTCTCACAGTTCTGGGAGCTAGAGGTCTAAGATTAGGGTGTCAGCATGGTCAAGTTCTTATTGAAAGCACTCTTCCTGGCTTGCAGACAGCTTGTGGTCTGCAATTTTATCTCCAATGTGGTCTGAGGACTTGCAGCACCAGCATCACCTGGGAGCTTGTTGGAAATTCTGGATTCTAGATTCCATCCCAGAACTTCTACATCAAAGCTGCATTTTTAACAAGATGCCCAGAGAGTGATTCACATGCAGTTTAAAGTTTGAGATGCACTGTTACAGATGGCACTGAGGAATTTTGTCTCTATCCTGAGCCATATGTGAGGGCCATGAAGTGTGTGTGTGTGTGTGTGTGTGTGTGTGTGTGTGTGTGTGTGTGTGTGTGTGTGGAGGCAGGGGTACGGGAAGGGGATGCTGCACAAGAGGATATATTTCTGAAGAGACTACTTGGTAGGTTGTTACGAATGAGTTTTTGTGAGAATTAAATGAATTACTACATGAAAAAAAATTACTTAGAATAGTATCTAGAGGAGATTGTGATAATAACAGTAATTATCATAGTTGACACATTGAGAAATCCCTAATTGTTTAATATACAAACTCCTTTTGGAGTTCTTTTGAAGTGGAATGACTTCAATAGTTTATAAGCTATTTTAATTCTTTCTAGTCTATCTGCATGATTCAATTAAATTAGGCACTTATTTACATTGACTCCTGCTCCCTCTTTTTGGCACATAGACAAAAAGTAAAAGTGAAATGATTTAAACCATCCAGCACTTTTTTTCCCCAATTGCAGGCCCTAAGCTAGAACACTGATTTGTTGGTGGTGTTTCTGCTTGAATAATGCATCCTATATAGGACCCATGGCTCAGGTAGAGGATGATAGCTTTCTCGTTTTTCTTACCCCAGGGACCTTGGGAGAGTTAGGTTGGGTCTAAGGGTATTAATCCCAGGATACAAGGCTCTGACCTTTTAACGCATCCTTTCCACACCAGAGCAGAACCAACTTCTTATTAGCTTCTCTCTCCCAGTGCTATAACATCAGAACTGTATGTGTGTGTATATTTGCATGCAGACTTAAATTCTCTTTTCCTTTTATTTCCTAATGATCCAGATGGAAAGTGCTGTGTGTAGCCACTATTGCTTGATCTACTTTATTTATGGAGAGACAAGTTTATTATATCAAGATATTTTTTTTGTCTGACTGAATGATTAAAAATTAGTTTTAATTTTGAGCCAAAGCATACTCACTATCTTAATTCTAGCCTCTGGCTGTGACTCTAAGAGGAAGAAAAAAGCATTAAGAGAGCAAGTAAGACTGCCTACATAGACTGAAATCTATTTTACCTTTCTTCATTTCATAGCCCAAGTTTAGATAACCACACAGATAACTTTAAGGACTATCCACTGTATTCTTCTTTATGATTTCCAAAAGTGAATGTAACCACACATATTTTCTTGCCACTAAAGTGGAGGAGATTTAGGCCGAGGCAGGCGGATTGCTCGAGGTCGAGTTCAAACAGCCTGCACGCCGGCACTCCATTTCACACACTCATAACATAGACCACACGAATTATCACTAATATACTACTACGCACAATCACGGCATGTGCGGCACATCCTGCTAGTCCAGCACTCGGAGGCCTGAGGTAGCAGGATTCTGAGCGATTTGAGTTCTGTGAGCTAGGCTGACACATGGACCCACTCTAGCCTGGCAACAAAGTGAGACTCTGTCTCAAAAAAAAAAAAAAAAAAAATGGAGGAAATTAATTATATCTATTAGAATTGAGTATGGTTATAGTAAGTATATTGTAAGTCAGTTGCAATCAAGACATTCTCCCTGTTGGCTATTCTAGTTTGTCAAACAGATGCTTTTAGGTCAGGATCCATTTGTCCTTCTGAATTATAGATCCAGTGTCTGCTATATAAACATGTCACTCCCCCAACAAGTAAGAAAGCCCTTCACAAGTCCTACTTTACAGTTTTTAACAGAGAAGAGCTGTTCAAAATGGCCCCAGTCTCTCAAGCATTTCAGATCTGAGCATGTAATGAGGTCACTCCTCCAGTTGCTAGCACATGTGGAAATGATGGGCTGCTGTGCAGATCCTGCCACAGCAGAATCACTAAAGATAGTAAACGTGTCAAAGAGGTAGGCATAACAACCAGGAACATCTCACTAGCCAGGGAGTTTTGGGGAGATAAGATTACTTGCCAGTTAGGCAAAAGGGTGAGCCCTTGGGCTTATATTGGGTAGTTGATCTTCTGTTTTTGGTACTACTATTTTTAGTAAATGTGTATTGATGGATATTAATAAAATGCCATACTTTTATGTGGGTTAGTGTGGGTTAAATTCTAAAATAAGCCTTCGATCACAATAATGTCTTTGTAACATATTGACCTTTGAGCTCAATGGGATGTTACTTGCTAAATGGACTTTCAAATGACTAATTGAATTAATCTATTGGAAAAGATATTCATTTGAGTACTAAATTGTCTGTCAAACACAAATTGATTTGGCTTAATTAATATCTTAGTGGAAAATAATTGGAAAACATGGTCAATTGCTTTGTTAAGATGTTTTTATTTTTTTATTTTTATGTTTTTGCATCACATATTAAGACCCAGAGCTCAATTGCTTTTTGAGGTTGTTTTAGAAAAAAATTGGCTAATTATCAGGAAAGACTCCCTTCTTCTGGCCAGGCCCCAAATTAATTGTTTCTTTTTATAAAGCAATGAATACATCATTCAGAACTCCAAGAAATAGGTATCAGTCAGAAACCTTTTAAAAATGAAGTCTCTTTACTTTTGACTCAAGATAACATTAATAATTAGATATTAACTCTGATGATTTCTCATTTCATCCTCTCTCCCCTGCTGATGAGATCCCTGTACTTAATTTTTCAAGGGTGTAAGCAGAATTGTAAATACCTCTCCCTTCGTCTTCCATCTTAAAAGAGGTGGACTGAAAGAGATAAGATCATAGTCAAGCCTTGGAAATTACCTGATTACTGCATAGTCCCTCCATGGTGACCTGTCTCCTGATTTTACACCTCAAATGATTGGCAGTGATGACATTTAATTGCTAGTTTTCTTCTTATTAAGAACCCTAAGAGGTGTCTTCATCTAGGAGGTTTTTTTTGTTTTTTTTTTGAGTCAGAGTCTCACTCTGTTGCCAGGGCTAGAGTGCCATGGCATCAGCCTAGCTCACAGCAACCTCACACTCCTGGGCTCAAGCAATCCTTCTGCCTCAGCCTCCCGAGTAGCTGGGACTACAGGTATACACCACCATGCACGGCTAATTTTTTCTATATATTTTTAGTTGCCCAGCATATTGCTTTCTATTTTTAGTAGAGATGGGGTCTCACTCTACTCAGGCTGGTTTCAAACTCCTGACCTTGAGCAATCCTCCCACCTTGGCCTCTCAGAGTGCTAGGATTATAGGCGAGAGCCACCACACCCGGCCTTCATCTAGGAGTTAATAAAAGAAAAAAGCAAACATGTAAAGCAGGGGTCCTCAAACTTTTTAAACAGGGGTCCAGTTCACTGGCCCTCAGAACTTTGGAGGGCCAGACTATAGTTTAAAAAAAACTATGAACAAATTCCTTTGCACACTGCACATATCTTATTTTGAAGTAAAAAAACAAACGGGCAGCAACACCTGCATATGGCCCATGGGCCGTAGTTTGAGAACACCTGATGTAAAGATTCCCACAACCGTTCAAGATATAAAGACTGTAGAAGATCTCTTGCTTTTGTTCTCTTCCTGTTATGTAACATATACATTATTTTATGGAAGCAGATAGGCCTCAACTTTGCTGTACCAAACTCTCCTAGTGCCAGTTTTCAGATGAACTTATCCAGATTTAGAGGAAACATTGAGGGCCAGGTGCAATGGCTCACATCTGTAATCCTAGCACTCTGGGAGGCCCAGGCAGGAGGATCGCTTGAGCTCAGGAGTTTGAGCCTGAGCAAGAGCGAGACGACCCTGTTTCTACTTAATGCATAAAAAATTAGCCGGGCATGGTGGCATACAACTGTAGTCCCAGCTACTTGGGAGGCTGAGGCAGAAGGATCGCTTGAGCTCAGGAGTTTGAGGTTGCAGTGAACTATGATGATGACACTGCACTCCACCTGGGGTGACAGAGTGAGACTCTGTCTCAAAAAAAGGGAACCTTTGAGACACTGCAAATGGCTGAGTGCTCTGCCTCATTAGCATGCCTCACAGAATTGCCCAAGGGTCTCCCAGCCAGAGATTTCCTATATCACCAACTTGAAACCCAGCCTTGATATCATTATTTTAAAAAGTTACTTTTTCTTTGCTCTTACTAAAATATTATAACACAAGATTAGTTTACCGGTTTGTCTAGGTACAGATGTAAAAAGATATTGGATCATGGCTCAGCTGTGTTTTGTGCCATTTATTTATTTTTAAAACCTTAAAATCCTACTACCACTTTTTATTATACAGATAAACCCAAATCCTCGTGATGGGCTTTTCAGTAAGATTTCTGGTGGCGAGCACCGGCACTGCACCAGGGCCTCCAAACTTTTTGGATTCGCAGCGACTGGGTTGGGATCGGCTACCAGCAGGGGCTGATCATACTGGATGAGGATGTCTTTGATCTCCTTCTTGGAAGCCTCACCCACATATTTTTGGTAATAGGCCACCAGGGCTTTGGAGATGGACTGACGGATAGCATAAATCTGGGCCACATGACCACCACCCTTCACACGGACACGGATGTCCACACCAGCGAACCGCTCCTAGCCCAGAAGCAGAACAGGTTCCAGAAGCTCGTACTGCAGCGTGCGCGGCTCAATCGTCTCCAGGGGCCGCGCGTTCACCTTGGGGAGGCCGTTGCCGCGTTTGCAGCGCGCCGCGCTGTGGCCGTTTTCCTGCGTCCGAAGACCTGCACCGACTGCAACTGGCCCTTGGACGGCGTGGTTACCTCAGGCGTGGACTAAAGATCCTCACCGCGCAGATCCACAACCGGAAAAGGTGTTTTGTGCCATTTACTGTAGATCTTTGCATCAGAAGGCCATTTGCATTACTGCTTACTCTGTTATGCTAGTTTTATGATAAGAATTAAAGGAGCATTAAACCAATATTTCTACCTTTGCAATTATGATACTCTTCCCACCAAAGATTTCTATCCATAAAATTAAAGTAAATCAATAAATGCTATAAAAGTATTTAAAAATATTTCACTGATTTTTCATTTGGGAGAAACAGAGAATAATGGTGGAAATGGAGGGAAATCTGTTTCCTTCGCAGGATCCATGCCTACAATTCAAGTAAGAGAAAGCCAGTTTAGAATTTGGAGTTTGTCCGGTTGAAGATAGAATAGTTTGTGTCCCATCCCCTAGATTCATATGTTGAAATCCTAACCCTCAACGTTAGGATTTCAATTAAGAGGTAGGGCCTTTGGGAGGTAATTATGAATACTTCATGAGGGTGAAGCTGTCACAAATGGGATTAGTGAGAGCTCTCTTGCCCCTTTTCTACCATGTAAGGATACAATGAGAAGTTGTCAGTCTACAGCCTAGAAGAGGGCCCGCATTAGAACTCAACCATTGTGGTACCCTGATCTCAGACTTCCAGCCTCTAGAATTGGAGAAGTAAATTTATGTTATTTATAAGCCTCACTGTCTATAATATTTTGTTACAGTAGTTCAAACCAGACAAATAGATTAATGGGTACCCTTATTGGCTAGGCTTCAGAATCATTTGTGGAATTTAAAATAATACAAATGTGAGGATCCTACCCCGAAAGATTCTGAAATAGTTGGTTTGAGTGGGTCCTAGAAAGCTATATTTTAATAAAAGCCTTTTTCAGGTAACTATGCTGTGTTTCCTGGTTTGAGAACTACACAGAAATTGAATATATTTACTAATTAGTAAGAAGAAAGGGGACTGTTTTATCTAAGACTCAGTTACAAGCAAATGTCAGAAAAACAAGTTTGAGCAAAATGAGATTTATTGGCTCATATAACTGGGAAGTTCAAAGTGGAGCTGACTAAAGTGTTCTGTGATGCTCTATAGATGTTCAAATGGTATCATTAGCTTTCTCTCTCTCTCCTTTCTCCTTCTCCCAGCTGTACTAACAAGTCATTTTGTGTAGTGGGGAAGGTGGCTTCTGACAGATCTAAGCTTTCATTTTTATTGTTCATGATTCAAAAAGAAAAGAGAGTTTCCCTCTTCCAGTATCCTAATATCAATTTACACGGATGAACTCTGGCCATCCTGTACCTACCCCTTTGACCAATCACTATGAAAAGGATGATGGTTGCATGAGTAGCCAGGGGTCAAGTAGGGACCAGGGATTACCAGTTTTATCAGAACCATACGTGATGGAGAAGGGGCAGTTTTCCAGTGGAAAAAGTTACACTGAGAAGGTAAGAACACAGATATTTTCTACTGAGGCCCACCTATCTGAATACAATGTAAAGACTTTCGGTGGTTCAGTGATTTACCATGGGGCCTTCTTTAGCATTAAGCATTTAATCAAATCATGCAAAGCTATTGAGATCACCTAATTTCAAACAGGGAAATTTTGTTTGGGTTATTATACAAGATGAGTATAGGATATACCTGTTACGGTTTGGAAAATGTATCTTCAGTCTCTCAACCCTCATCTTCATGAGTGTGGTAGGCAGCCTTTAAAAATGGCTTCCAATGATTCTTCACTTCTTTGTGTTTACACCCTATGTAATCCTCTCCGCTGTGCATGGGCTGCGCCTGCTGACTTGCTTCTAGTGAATAGAATACAGCAAAAGTGTGGCAGGTCACTTCCAAGATTGGGTACAAAAGACTATGACTTTCATCTTGTTGGCACTTTTTCTCTTGCCTTTTTGGCGTGCTTGCTTTGATGAAGGAAATATATGAGAGGCCCAAGTGGCGAGGAACTGCAGGCAGCCTCTGGTCAATAACTGTCAAGGAGCTGAACTTTGTCAACAACCATGTAAGTGAGCTTGGAAGCACATCCTCCCCCAAGGAGCCTTGTGATAACTACAGCCCTAGCCAACATCTCGATTGCAGCCTGTAGGAGACCCTGAACCAGAGGACCCAGCTAAGCCTTGCCTAGATTTGCAACCCATATGTAACGGTGAGATAATAAATGGCGTTGTTTTAAGCCACAGATCTTCAGATAATTTGTTATATAGCAATAAATAACCAAATGAAATATATAATGAAAGTCTTGAAATAAAAAATTTGATATTCTAATAATATACTTCATGGATTGTTGGGACATGGTAAAATGCACTTGTTTTCTTAGACCTGGGTCTTGTTATCTAGTGATGACTACTAAGTTGTTTCACTTTCCCCTGAGTCTCCTGTTAGTTAAACCTGGATTTCTGTGTGTTTTTACATTCACTATCTTCTGAGTCATATTGCTTTCTTTACCCCAGACCAGGACTAGGGTAAAGGCAAGTGGGAAGCTTAAGGTACAAAATGTAAGGAGGCCCTATGTACCTCTCTTAACTCACCCTAGTCCTCGCCCTGATTCAGTCAATAAAGCTGGTTTTGTGTCTTGGCTCCTATTCTTATGAAATTATTTGTTTACCTGTGGTGGTGTCCTAATGCTTCTCTAGAAATTAAGCTTTGTAGTATCCCAAGCCTAGGTAGATATACAGTGTGTGTATGTCTTTGTGTGTGACATGTGTGTGTGTTTGTGTAAGTCTGTTATCCTATACTTTGTGCCCTTTGCTCATCTTTTTCCAAGTGTTCCCTACCTAAGGGAGGAAAAGTTGATACTCTGTTTGGCTAGGGCCCAAGGCATTCGCTGGGCCCTGTATTTCATTGGCAGGTGTTATGGACCGAATGTTCTGTGTCTCCCAAATTCATATTTGAAATCATAGCCTGCAAGGTGATGATATTAAAAAGTGGGGCCTTTTTGGAGGTGATTAGGTCATGAGAGAGGAATGAGTGAGATTACTGGCCTTAAAAAATTGGCTAAAGGGAGCTCATTTGTCACTTCTGTTATGTGAGAAAGCTATGAGAAGTTGGCAGTCTACAACCTGGAAGAAGACCTTCTTCACCAGAACCTGACCATGCTGGCACCCTGATCTTGAAATGCCAGCCTCCAGAACTGTGATAAACAAATTTCTGTTGTTTATAAGCCTTCAAGTCTATGCTACTGTGTTATAATGGCCCAAAGTAAGAGAGCAGGGTACTGTGTTTAAATGTCAGTACTTATGCATGGTGTCTTATTCTTCCTATCTTCAGGTGGTAAGCACACCCAAGCAGGGCCTGTCTTTTTAGAACAGGCTAGGCATCTTTCTCTTCTTTTGTATCTTGAATTGTTTTGACCTGTCTAGACAAGATCAGTCTGTGTATCTTTCTTTTTCCCCCTTCCAGGTCTGCAACTAAGTGGTGACATAATGCCAGAGCCTGTTTTCTCTGTAGTCTTTGCTATTTTAGATTTAGAGGAGGATATGGCAAGTTCCATTTAGGTCTCCAGGACTAAGCCACATTCTTCTGTCTAGCTTCTGAAAGGTCTCAGGATTGGGAGTTATTGGATGCTGGTTTGGCTGTTAATAAAATGGTAATTTTCCTACTGGTTACTATCCCTTAACTATAGTTCTCTTGGTTGGAAAATGAACAAGCAGGAGAGGTGAGTGGTAGGGCAGGTTTTGAGCCAAATACCAGCCTAATGCCATTCAAACCTCACATTACCTTCCTAAATATTGCTGTTCACTTGTGGGACTGAATAAGTATAAACAGGGAGCCTGGAATTTGGAGTCAAAGTGCCGTGTGGGAAGATTTGGCAGCAGCTGGCTTGAATTGTGGCAGCCCAGCTGCAGCAGATGGTATTGCTGGAATGGAGCCCTCGCTTGGTTTGGCAAGAAAAAGGGTTCATTTTGGGGTCAGGGCAGGTTTGACTGAGACTTTAGCGTGAATAAGTAGGAGTCTGGTCTTGACAGGGGAGAGAAGTATTTTTTTTAAGGCAAGGAGAACCTCTTTAGGTGGTTATAGACTTGCAAAGTCAGTTTCAAACATTGTAAGCAGAATACATAGGGAAAGAGCAAACCCTTGCTGGGGCCAGAGGCAACTAGACTCAAAAGGGCAGAGCTTTGGCGCACAGGCTTTTTAAGGATGCACTGCGCTGTTACACAGCATTAACCCCTCTACTTCCCTGCCTTGCCTGTCTGGTCTTTCAGTAAGGGCCAATGGATTGTTTTGCTCTCCAGGGAAGATCAGGCCCTTTTGCAGCAGGAAACCAGACAGAAATAAGGGATTGTTTTTTATTTGGATTTTTATTTTCTGATTCTTTGAATAGTGAAGATTAACCAAGCCCTTGGAATTAATAGGCAGAGGAAAACAAGGTTTTGGTGAGAAGCAGTTGGCAGAGATTATTGCTTCACCTAGGGTCCCTGAGGATAAAAGAAGACCAACAACAGCCTCTCAGGCTGCCAATATCTTGAGTTTCTGTAAGCCTTGGATTTAACTGAGTTCAGTTATTTTTATTTCATAAGCTCTAGTCTCCAAATGTTTAGCATGGAGTGACTGGTATACTGGCAAGACAGAAGCCACAGAGAATTTCTTATTTTTTCTCTTGCATTTTCTGTCTATCCTCCTTCTCTCAGATAACTCCAAGTCTCTGCTATAGTCCACAGCTGGCAACAGCAATGTAGGAACTTTGCTTTGTTTTGGGAAATGCCACAGGGGCAGCTGTCATATGTGGTTCTAAATTTTGAAGGGATGGGCGTGATATTGATACCCATGAATCTTACTGACATTTTGAGGTTGAGGAACTTCAGAAAAGATGAAGTTGAGAAATTTCAAAAGAGATGGGGGTAGGATTAATGTAACTTTGGTGGTGCTGAAAGAGCAACATTCATTTTGGAGGAAGACCACTAGCGGCTGCTGCTGAAAAAGGCAATCAGGTCCCACCAGGCCTCTTTGGTTACCCATGGGCTGACACTGAGCACAATAAGAGATTGAAGGGGAAGAAGAACT